TGTGTGTGTGTGTGTGTGTGTGTGTGTGTGTGTGTGTGTGTGTGTGTGTGTGTGTGCAGGAAACACAGGCTCTCTGTCTCCTAGCGATAAAGAAGCTGACAGCTGAGCTGTCTGACAGCCTCTCTTGTCTTTGTGATTCAAACAGAAAAAAAGAAGAAAAAATAATAATCTGCCTTTCTCTGATTTTCTTTTTATCTTTCACAACAACACTGTTCCCTGGTGCTGCTATAACTATTATTTCCTCTGCACATATGGGTAACAAACTAATCGCATGGATGTTTCGAGTCAACAACAAACCTTTCCTTGTTATGATGCTGACACTTTCAAACTGGTTGCAATTTTCTTGTTCGTATTGATTAATAACTCATTTTATTAAGCTTCAGCACTGCTGAGGGAACTGATTCACACAAGGAATGGAGACAAATATTTACCTGCTAACCAACAAAGATAGCTAATAATAGAAAATACACATTATTAGGTTGTAATGCTTATTCTAACCCTTATTCCCACAGCTTATCAGGTCAACATAACCTGGATCAATTATTTCAATGCCAGTATGATTTTTTTAAAAGAAAAACTAACATCATGCTGTGTAAAACAAACAGCTRCACCAGGAAATGTGTAAGATTAGTGCGAACCTCTGGCGCCCTCTAGTGGACAAAATATCAAGTACAGTTACACTTTTAAAGTAGAAAGTTAAATATTTGTTAATACTTTAGGTAGTTTTTTAAATTTTATTTTTGTTGTTTGTTGCTGGGTCTAAAATCTAAAAGCAGTTTAATAATTGTAAGGGTTTATTTAGGCTTTATAGTTAAAAAAGGAAAAGTGAACCTATCATTGCACATAAAATCAAATGGAAAAAAAACAATTTACTTTATTTATAAGTCTGCAAGTAAGCAATCATGGCTATGAATATATTCTAAAAAAGGAATCTGCTCATACCTCCAAACAACAAAACTCCAACAACCTCCACATGTGCATGGAGGATTCAAGGAGTTTTTTATTCTCATTTCAAATGAGTGTGTGAGAAACAAAATACAGACAACAGGTAAAGCTGATTTAAAATATCTGTCAGTAAAAAAAAAAGGGAAGGAGATGTGGTGTTTTACTCACCATAAACTCTGCCTAAGAAGAGTGTCTTGACCAGGTCGAACTGTGTGTCTGAGGCGTCTGGGAGGCTGTAGCTGACTGCAGGGTAGTGATCCAGCTGGAACCAGACCAAAGAGATGTTGGGAGGATAATGAACAGTTCTGCATTTCAACAAGGCTGAGAATCTAAAAGCCCTGAGCACAGACCTAAAAAAAAAACATGCAGGCCAGGTCTGGCACACAGAGAAGATGGTAAAAAATGTAATAATTTAAGTGGAAAGCAGCTCTCTGGCGCCCTCCTGTGGTTTCAAATGAAAACTCTTTAAACCTCAATAATGAAGTTCTCTGTTTTTATGGCAATATAAAAAAAACCCTCCATTTAATTTTTATTACCTGCAGCTAAAAGACTAAAGGAGAACTATAGTTTGTTAGCATGATATCTCATGAACCACTGGATAAGTTATAATGATCAACTTTTGGATTCAATCTGATTCAAGATGGCTGTCACAGCTAATCAACAACATCCAAAACAAAAATGGTCAGTTTGACAGATACTGAGTTAAAGTTTGTAGGTGGTAGTAGCTGAGAGTCATTAACAGTACACACTCTGAGTATWAATGAGAACAAAACTGCATCAAACCTAAATCAAAACATTTGGCACTGTTTCAGTGTTTATTCGATACGACACTCATTATTTCAGGTCGTGACACTACAAAGGGTCATGCAGGACTCATTTTTTACACCACAGTGCCAAAACATCAGCAGTAATAATGGATCTAATTTGTGCTGCAGTCCGTCTGCCAGCTGCTATAAAATCAAGCCGGTACACAGAAGTTAATGGATGGACAGAAGCGCCATGATCTGACTCAGGGAAGTAATTTAAAAAAAAAAGGAAAACATAAAGTAGATCAGTTAGGCAGGACGCCGAGCCCGCACGCACCATCCAAACAGCCTCTAATCACCTTGGCTTTGATYCAAAAAGTCTCTAAAATCTTGCTTGAGGGAAGAACAACGGCCTCATTTTCTAAAAGACATTCAGTGTTTTTAAAAAGTGTTTGTTGCAAAATCTCTCACAGATGCTTTGATGGGTTTAGATCAAGCTTTCAGCACTTCGTTCGCATTAAAAAAATAAACATTTAGAGTCCTATTTCACCCCCCAAAAAATGAACTAAATCTCGTCCCAGATTAAACATCAGAAAAAATGTTTGGTTGTGTGACAGAAGGGAACGCTTGTGTTGATTTTCAGTAGAAAGGAACCAGATACCAAAACAACAACAAAAAAAAGGTTTTAAGAGTCATTTTCAACATGTGCTCTGGGGTCAACAAAGCACACAAGATCTTATTTGATGTTTGCCTCCAGGAAAAGAGTTAAAAAGCTTTTTTTATGTAAAGTTTGTGCAGCCTGGCTGTTTTTGTTTAAATGTGTTTATTGGGTTGGACATCATAGTTTCCACGGTCCTCTTTCCATTTATTGTTGTTAGATGTTTGTCTGAAACAGGGGTGGAGCTAGACTTTTTACAAGGGGTGGCCAATGCAGGATGGCCACCAGAGTTTTATTTTTTTAATTTTTTTTTTAGAGACAATAGGTTGAAATTTAGTGTGGTGGTAGCTGAAAGTGATGCCCATCGGATTCTGAAATCAAATCAAATAATCCAAGAGGGTCAACAAAGTCAAATTTAAATAACTCGGGTGTTTTAGACAAATTGAGCTAAAATTTGGTGTGACAAGAGCTGCAACCACCAACGTACAGTATACCGTATTTTTCGGACTATAAGCCGCACCGGACTATAAGCCGCACCCGCCATTTAAAAAAAAAATCCGCGAACATTAACATATAAGCCGCAYCCCCAACATAAAAAACAGTACACCCAAATTTGCCATCAAAAAAGTGAATTCAACATCAAAACATAAAAGCAAACCTTTAGGAATTAAAGTTCGGAGGAATACGGTTCATTTAACTGACCTTATTTTGGTAGTTTTCTTTAACAGTTTCTGGTCCAACAAAAAGTCTCATTCATCATCCTCCAGTGCACTGAAACCATCGAAGTCCTCCTCTTCAGTATCGGAGTTAAACAAGCTGAGAAAAGCTGCGTCACACAGCGGTATCTGAGAAAAGCTGCGTCACACAGCGGAATCTGTTGTCCTCCCGGGGTAATGCTGGCTCTGAAGCTGTGGTGGGAAAGCCCTCCCGCTCCAGCATACGTCACTGCATGGGATTCCTTCCCCAGGGAGTGCAATGAGGAAAAAAAAAAGTCTGCGGCTCTTCACTCGACGTTTATCCACAAACTGGTCCTGGATTAAGCTCCAAAGTTTTTATCAGTCAGATTCCACCATGAAAAATGTCTGTTTTATCCCCTTTTATGAGTTTTTGGCTATTGACTATCTTTAAATCGCTGCTTCCTGGTACAACAGTCGGCTCTGGAAGCGATTGCTTTTTTCTTTTTTTTCCTTTCTTTTTTGAAGCGAGTGGTTGAAGCAAATGGAGCATAAGAGCCCCCTGGTGGCTGAAGAAAAAAATCCACGTATAAGCCGCACCGGACTATAAGCCGCATGGTTCAAAGTTCAGGAAAAATGTCACGGCTTATAGTCCGAAAAATACGGTAGTCATAAATTTAAAATAACAGCTACATGTCCGTCAACATTTCTTGAGCAACTTTTCTGGTTGCATCATATCATTGTTGTGTTACAGACTTGCCACTAAATGTCGCCCAGTTTACGTTGACTGGTTCTTAAACCCAGAACGCTTACACACAATTTTTTGACATTAATTAGTGGTTCAGAAAATGTATTTTCATCTCCATTCTCCCACTGATAGGTTCCCTCTACACTAGACAATATTGCTTGACAGATATTTGCTCTTTTGTTGCTCTAGCTGCCCATATTTTGTTGCCACATGAGATTCCCWCACCACCTGTCAATCATTTGGGGGTGGCACCTGGGGTGGCCAATCAGGTGCCAGGGGTGACACTTGATTGGCCACCCTTCTGGCTTCGGCCTTGGTCTGAAACACTTTGAAAACAAGACGATTCACCAGATGTTTGACCTTAAAATAAATAATCTCAAGGGATACGAAAAAATAATTTCCATCAATGTAAGAGTAAAGTAAAGAATTAGCATTTTCTGCATAAAAGCTGTGTAAATGCCAAAGATTTTGCTTAAAATTGCTGAAGTCAAGTCAACTAAAAGTAACGAGCAAAAAGAAGCTAAAAGGAGCAGAAACCAATTTAATATGGCAGACAAACAATAAACGTAAAGAAAAAAATAGCTGAAAGGAGTAGGCTACAAAAAAAGTTGCAGTTTTGTTGTAAAACAGCAAAAAAACTGCTGAAATTACTTGGAAAAAGCTAGAAAGTAGCTGAAAAAGCAGAAAGTGGCACAAAGAAGCAGAGAGAGCATGTTTGCTGAATTGAGAAGCTAAAATTATCACAAAAAGGTGAATTTAGTTTAAATAAAGCTAAAAATGGCTAAAAATACCTTTTAAAAGGCAGAAGACAGCTGGATTTTCTAGAAAACAGCATAAAATAAATTACCTGAAAGGAGCTAAAAGCCACCTTAAACTGTTGAAATTAGCAGAAGAACAGCTGAAAGGAGCACAGTGATCGCTGAAAAAGCTTAGAAGAAAAAAAAAACAAGCTAAAGGAAGCTGAAATTAGCATGAAGAACTTAAAGAAGCAGAACCAGAACAAAAGCTGAAAAGTGCAGTAAAGATTTATGAACATTTGAAAATATTTTTTTAAGGATGCTGAAAACTGCTTAAATAATTTTTAAAGAAATAAAAAGGCAGAAAAAGCTAAATATTTTAAAAAGTTTATATTGCTGAAAAGTCACAGCCAGAACTCCCTGAAGGAACTGAACGGTTTTGATACATGACTTGTTGAAATGGCACAAAAAGTACAAAATAAGTTATGCACAGAAAAACATACAGAAGAAAAAAAACCTTTGTTTATTAAAGCAACATATTTTAAACTGAAATATAGAACAAGACAACRATAAAAAACAAAGAAAAAACTAAAATTTCTACAGCTGGTGGTAAGTTGAAGGTATTTTTTTTTACCTCCCAGAAATTTTTCTGGGAGGTAAAAAAACAAACATAGTGAAACCTCCTAAAAAAGTGAGAGCAGCTAAGGTGATGAAGAGAGGGAATACACGACTTTAATATCCCTGCAACATAATTAACTTGTTATTGCTGTACCAATGAAGTTTCTAATTAGCTTGAAGGCTGCAGCTGGTGCCGTTGACGGGAATCATTTCAACCCCACAAATTGGTTTCTCTACATTGCTGAAATAAAAGATCATCCTTCTCCCCTCGTCTCTCTCTTTCTGTGCCCGTAGGAGGACTGAGCTCACACCGGCCTGCAGGAAGAAGCAGAGCCAGAGGAGGTTGGTGGAAAACAATGAATTTGTTTCGTTGATGTTCTGAAAAGTTGCTCCTTCCTGCTTGGCTGGTCTGTCACATGTGAGCATGTTGCTGCTCTGATTTACAGGCTGGAATCAGTCGAATCCTCCCATGCAGAAAATTCTCTGTATCCACAACTACCTCTTCTTCTCTCACACACACACACACACAAACACACACACATGAACACACACACACAAACACACACACATGAACACACACACACAAACACACACACATGAACACACACACACAAACACACACACGGCCTCATTTGATTCCTTCCCAAAGCCTGGTCTCGGCGGAGTGTTGTGTGGGTTTTGTTTTCCGCTGCGACTGGAGGGTGGGAAAATGGGGCACAATTAAATTGCGCTCGGCTTATTTACTTTTATCTGGGAAAACAAATTGGCTGCGCAGCCGGGGAGGGCTGGTTCCAATCTGGGAAACCTCACATGAAGGTCCGCTGAGGAAGACGAGCAGAAGAAACCTCATTTTACTGAACTCTGTCAATTACAGCCACAATTACTGGGATCCTTTCTCCTTTTCACTGCGTCATTTAGGAAACACACTCCTCTCCTTCAGYGCCTCTTATGTTGCATAAAGCTAATGTAAGCAAAGCAATTAGGRCTTAGACAAAGAGGAAATACCCAAAGGCTAAAATCTATTTCACCAACTATGTGCTTAAAAAATGTTAACTGAGCCAGCATCGTGTTTATGCTGAAA